GGATTTATGGTTTACTGCAACAATGGGTAACCTCACTAACACTCCTCTGTCCTAGGGTTGCAGAAGTGTTAACTGCCCACTTCACCTTGAACGGTCTCTTGCAAGGGGTGTTAATTCATTATGCTAAGCAATCTGCTTCACCTTGTATTTAGCTGTGACACACTCATGAGTACCTTTCCCAGATATGAAGAAGAGCTCTATGTACACGCAAAAGCTTTTCTCTTTCATCAACAGAAGCTGGTCCAATAAAAGATATTACCTCACCCACCTTGTCTCTCTAATATCCTGGGACCAATACAAATACAACACTGCAAACAACAAGAATTGTTCATCCATTTAAACAGTCTACCCTGAAATGTGGGCCAGCAAAAGATACAAACACCACGAAGGACTGCTTAATGGATATTTACTAGTACTATCACATAAGGAGAAAGAAAACAAAACTTTCTCACCAGCCTTTTTGAAAAAGTTCCAAGTCACGAGAAAGAAGATATTGCATTAGGAAAAAACATCACTGCTCCTCCTCTAGAATTACTTAGATACATAACTCAAGCACTGCAGAAAACATAATAGTTTAAATAAATCCAATACTGTTGTGAAAGTATTACACAATACACTGTTAACCTCATAAATCGTATCAAGTATCATATACTTCCATAAGACAATTTTGGTTTTATTCTTGCTGTTTAAACAACATTCAAGTGTCATGTGGCAAATTATTATACTTGCTTATTTTTCACATTTTCACTTGTCTTGAACTACGAAAGCCGAGTCACTCTTACTTTCTGGTACTCAAGCAATGGCACAAAAGTAGTTTGTGTCTTCTCCATTGGACAATTAAGTTTAACTGCCCCCTGAAAGTGTTTCATTGGATTTTTTTAATCTATTCCTATCAGGCTGTATACAACCTTTTGTCAAAAAAGGCCTCCAAATTCTCACCTTAAATAGTTTGACAATATATCCTTTAAGAACCAATTTTAAGAGGTGTTAATCTCTACAGAATGACTACATTAGCTATTTTTTAAAAATAATACACTCCCTGGAGAACTGAATCAGAGAAGCAAACCTAAGATTAATTAAATTTTATTCTATCCAATTTAACAGTTTTCATTGACACGATTTTACAACTGTTACTGGAATTACTTATTGATGTGTTTCTGTCTTAAGTCATACCTACAGTATTATTGCAGATCAACTTTAGATTGCCTATATCTCTGAAACAGATTTAGAAATTAACACCAAGTGAAAGCAGAACATTTCATATTCTATACTCATCACCATAGCATTTAATCACATAAATATTGTTAAAGAATCACTTGAAGAAGTTGTACAAAATGGAAAGTCTGTCAGTATGTTCTACCGTTTCTAAGACATTTCTTCTGTTTCTGGTATCAGCAAATTTGCTATACTGGCATTACATTAAAGCCTCCATTTCTTACCCCTTCAAACAAAAACAAGCTTCTCAACAATGTCTAATCTGTGTGTCATATAATCCTGTTTAATACTATACAAACTCAGGGTAACATTTGGATAGTTTTTAAATTTAACAAGAATATCCTGGCCTACTAAAAAGGACACCCTCTTCTTTGGAAAGCCTTCCACTAAAACTAAAGATATCCTCCATCTTCAAAACAAAAACAAACAAAAAACTTTAATGCATAAGAGAAGTTAATGACGGTCAAATTAACAGAAGATGGCCCCAAAGACATGATTGTAACAGATGGTGTTGCAACTCAAAAGACTCAGAGATTCTGCTGTATTCTGCAGCCACAAATACAGCATTAAGGTATAATGAAATAGACATTCTTACTTTTTAGTACACCTTTTGGTGGATCTGCATAACAGTATCAGAGTGGACTGTACATAACTATTTCAGCCTCCTCACAGCCACAATAAGTTAGACAATTCCACATGGAAAACCCTCTCCTCTTGAAAAGAATTCCACTACAGGTTACTAGACAGACAAGGTGGTGAGGTAATACAGGTTACTGACGGATGCATTGCAAAAGCACATTTAGCTAAGTTATGAGAGTGTTCTGACTGCCTAGATAGAGCTAATAAATCCAACGCGGGAAATCACTCTTTTGGATGAGAGAACAGAAAATCCTCTCCCTGATGACACAGTTCATGATCTTCAATCATAATTTGTCTTAAAGTGGCTCACTACACATCTTCTACAAGAAGGATATTTTAGACTGTAGTACAATTCTTTAGTGTACCATCTCTATTGTCTTTCCTAAGATATTTCAGTCCCTTGTTGAAGGACAAATATGTTCCCTATTCTCTTTAGGCTGTGAGCCCAACAGTGGGCTGACAACCCATTGTCAACAGTGAGGCTGGGGTTGGTTACTACAGCGTACTGCTTGTAATAGCAGGTGCATGGCCCTGGGGCTGCCATCTGCCAGGAAGGAAGTATTCTCTTCTAGGATGCTGAAGTGATTGTAAACAAAACACTGACTCACTCCTAAACTATTACATAACTGGGTATTTCGCAGTGTAGATGTTATATGGGTTTTTCTTCATCTGTTTAACTATTTCTATATGCTGTTTATTAGAATAAAATACTCTTATGGGTCACTTATATGGGACAGCTATTCTTTGTTTATTGTGTAAGTGTATGTGCCTCCCGCACACACACACGAGCTACTTTTTTTAAAACTGTAGAACTTGTTAAATTATGAACTCCGGTAAAGACACTATAGCTCCAATGACTGAACTGTTAATTACCTATGCACAGGCAAATCTAAGTGTCAGCTATTTAATGAGTTTATCTACAACTGAGTTAATGGCTTATTTCTTAGGAAATAACATCTGATGAAGTGAGCTGTGGCTCACGAAAGCTCATGCTCAAATAAATTGGTTAGTCTCTAAGGTGCCACAAGTACTCCTTTTCTTTTTGCGAATACAGACTAACACGGCTGTTCCTCTGAAACCTTTCTTAGGAACGTTACTGGAATTAGCCATGATGTGGGAAGAGTACTAATACTTCACCAAAACCTTTCCCCCACACTTTGGATGCACATTGGGGTAGGAATTCTTTGGATATCTATGTGCAGTATCTGATCTCAGTTGGAGACTCTAATCTAGGCACTACTGTAATACAAATAATAATCTAACACAGAAAATATCTTGAAGGACAGTGAAAACTCTATCTGAATTCCAAGCAGAACGTACTCTTGCAAGATCTGTAACTGAAAAAGAAAATAATTTATCAATAGTTTTTAAAAAATTCACAGAGGTATTTATATTCATTTCAAAAGTATTTCCCCACTCGAAAACTTGAAATCATTATCTGTTTCCTTAAAAGAAAGACAAGGTGAGTGAGGCGATATCTTTTATTCGCCCAATTTCTGTTGGTGAGAGAGATGAGTTTTCGAGCTTACACAGAGCTCTCCTCTAAAGTTTGTCTCTCTCACCAACAGAAGTTGGTCCAATATTACCTCACCCACTTTGTTTCTCTAAAATCCTGGGACCAACAGCACTGCACCGCACCACACCACACACAACAATGGAAGCTATCGATCCTTAAAACACATTTACCCTTCATTGCATTCAAACACTGGCATTTTTTGTACATTTCCACATAGCGCAGGATGACTGTCATTTAGCTAAAAAGATTTTAAATGTTTGTTTTGGAAAAAGAATTATATGGACCTTAAAAACTGATATGGGGGAAAAAAAACAGGATAAACTGTGGGCCTGTTATCCATGACCGTATTCCTTTAAAGGTATTTCCAACCAGATTGTTGCCCATTAGATTCAAGTTTAAAACAAACTTCTCCGCTTTTGATTAAATCAAGCTATTTTTAGCTGTACGTTTTCATCTACAATACCAACAGAAACACATTTGCGTGTACATGAATAAATATGCAACTTAGCAGACTAGTCTCCACATAATCATGCATATTGATTAGAAACTATCCACCAACATGCTAAGCACCAGTGTCTAGCTGTCTACACATTAGGGGCAGGATGCATGTCTACCTTTCAGGAAAACTAAAAAGAAAATTACTATACATGCTATGACAGTTTACCAGTCAATTAAGTATTTTATCCTTATGCAGACAGAATAAAGAACTGAGGGGGAGGGGGAATTTCCATTTATTTCAGTAAGCTTTAAATCAGGCCCTTAGAAACTAATCCTGAAACTCTTGCTCACACCAAAAAAAAAAGAAAAAAGACACTAAATTCATTAAGAATTTTGCTTTAATAGAGCTGCATGGTCAGAAAAACCTACAACTCATGTGAATTTGTGTTTACCTAGTGCAAGTCTGCCCCCGGTGACCACCTTAAAAACACATACAGAGAAGCAGCTACAAAAAAAAATAAAATAGCTATATTTTTTTAATTCAGAGAAGCAACGTGAAACTTAGAAAAATAAGCACTCAGATACCAGGGCTGTGGGTACCAAAGTGAGAACCTAGAGCTTGATACTGCACTACTGAAATCAGTGAATGCTACTGATTTCAATGAGCATAGGATCAGACCTAGAGATAGAATTCAAGAGTTCATTTTCAAGCAAATCCCATGAGGAATTAAAGAATTACAACTAAATATTAAATGAATCTACATAGAAAAGTCTATTTGATAAACTTTGTCTATTTGTTTTAGATGATTTATTTTATGCATTTTGCGAATATACTGAAAAATCTACTAACTCAGCAAAATGCTGTCTTCACAATTTCAAAAACACAAAATAGGTTTACTCATGAACACAAATACAGTCCATAAGTGAAGTATGTATATGCACACACATACCTTCATGAGGCATAATGTCTTTAAAAAAATTAAAAAGTAGTTAAACATTTCTTTAGGATTTGTTTGATAGATGGAAAAGACAGACATTTTGTTAAGTGCTCTTGCTGCTTTTGAGAAGATCTGGCTTAAACTGAAAATACCTGGATTGTATATACAATACTTTAACTTCCTAATGGGGAAGGAGATCCATTACTTAAATTGACTACAGTGTACGCATGCCGTGTTTCAACTTTTAAACCAGCTTCAGTATTTCAATATAATAATATTTTTAAAAATGGTAAAACCAGCACAAAGTATCCAACATTATTTCCTCCTTATAGCGGAGGGCGGGAATTCATACAAAATATGTCCTAATACTCTTTCTGGTCGTACATTCCTTTATGTATTTTACTTACAACACAAGTGAATGTTAGTCTCGGCAGCTATCTTGAAAGAAATCAAATTATCAGAAACAATCATCAACCTAAGCATTTCCTCTGCCTTGAGCAATGACTACACTGGTTCACGTTAGAACAAACCCACCATTCAACTTAGTCTATAACTATTTATCTTAAATGATTCAAAGTAACCATGACAATCTTGTTTTGTTTAGTTTAGTGCAACTAAATATAATTTAAACTATAAGAAATAAAAGCCAAATACATTTATGGGTTTTGGTGTTTTCTCTCATTTTTAAAAATCTGACATCCATATAATTAAAACAATTGAAAATGAATTTTTTTTAAAAAAGTAAAAGTTGTCATTTAATTTTACAAAACGTATAGTTTGCAGTTTGTATTTTATAGGTTATGCTGCCAGATTTGATACCTAATCATTTCATTTTACCTCTAATAGAATGGAATCTGAAAGAGCAGTACCACATTTTCCAACAAGCATCTAAGGTGAAACTGGAACTCTTAAATTTTATCTGTGAAGTGATTTATAATCACAGCCATATCGGATATAATAGGTAGGCCAGTTCTTGAATCTATTCATTCTGAGGTATATAACCCACTGCATGGCACTAGATCAGTAAGAGCAAATGCTACATTTGTAATTAGTACTAATTTATACGACATTTAGTATAAATTAGTACTAATTTATACGAAAAAAATTAGGCTTTAAAAAAGATGTACAAAGCTGTATTTGAATGTTTTCATAAAATTAACAAGACATTTTGATTAGAAGATTACTTTTATACAGGCAATTAAAACATTTCCTTGCAGATTCTGAACCAAACTTTGTGGCAATCAGTATAAAAGAATCAAAAAGTGAAACTGACTTCTCTAGTTTTATTGTCCAAACTGAGCACAAAGGGAAAAAGTAAATATCAGGGTTTCAGTTTTAACAAGGTGTGAATTTTATCTAGATAGGGACTTTTGTACTGTTTAAGTATATTCATAAAATCCTTACAAGAATTATGAGCTAGTGTGTGACACAGCATTTTACCTATTCTCACAGACCACTAGCTTGCTTTATGATCATTTAAAACTGATGTATCATAGGTTAGAATTGAAGACCTTTTTTAATAAATCAAGAAGAAGTAAAAAGGGGGGGGGAGAGCCAACAGACCTCAATCTCATGTATCTGCTGTCACACTTTGGAAAACTAAAACATCACTAGTTGGAAAAACTTTAATATGTTCCAGAAAACATGTTGCTTTTGGAATAAAACAAATATAATGGCCCCAATTGTAATATCCTTAACCAGGCAAAAAACTTCCAATTAAGTCAAAACTCAAGCACAATTACTACTGAACTTAATGGGATTTTGCTTAAGGATTTCAGGATAAAAACAAAAACAAAAACCACAGGGTGAAATCTTGGTGACAAAAACCAGGGTGAAACCCTATTAAAGCCAAAATTACTAGTGATTTCAATGGAGCCAGGGTTTCACCCAAAAGACAGATCTTCAGTTGGTGTAATTTAGCACAGCTCCAATGTAATAAACAATTTACACCAAAGGAGGAACTGGGTGAAAATGTTTACATAAGCAAGGAAATACATAATTTTGTCTGAACTAATGTTATTTTGCAAGGGTTGTTATTTCATACTTAGAAAGCTGAATGCTAACTGATAATCAGTGTGCAACAAAAGAGTTTCCAGCTGTCTAGTAAAGGCACTATTTTATTTATATTTCAGAAAAAGGCAAGTACTTGTTAGACTCTCACAGGCCTGCACACTTTCAGAGTGAAGTAGAACTAAATAAACTGATAAATTCTGAATGACCTTTTTATTTTTCTGTTTTCAGCTATTTTGGTTTTGCTAGCTTGCTCTCGTTGTAACAGGATGATACTGGTTCAAAATTCCAAAAACCACACTAGTCTTTAAAGCAGCCAGGCAAGTTACTGATGAAAACCAATGCATCTTTATTTTTAAAGTCACATAATTAATTTTCTTTGTTAACGGGACAAAAACTCAAACACAATATTTACTTACATAATAAAATATATCTATAGATATGGGGAAGTATTTGAACTGACTATGATTTTACATTGAAATATTAATTTCCGAATAAACCAAATAGAATGAACTTTGGGGTTTTTTGTTTTGTTTTTTTTACAAGATACAGGCTTTTTACAAGAGTTCTTCATGTTACTTCTTTCTAAAGCAGCAAACATTGCAGTTTTAAAATTGCTCCAAACTGTTAATTTCTCCATAGCTTTGAAAGGATAAAGCTAGCTCCCATTCAGTGGCTTTAGTGATTTAGTAAACAATTAGTACAAACAGAAAAGTAAACAATTCTCATCACATCTAATACAGGCTACCTCCATGGTAAACTGTATATAGTAACATCAATTAAAAATCTTCAATAAAGTTTAGCCAAATCATTCTGAACTGCCACTGACTTAAAATAAGAAATGAGAGTTAAACCAGTACCTAGTATGCTTAATACATATATTTCTGTAATTCTACATGTGTATTTCATCATAAAATATGAAAATCCTGTTAATCTTACAAATTAAAGTTCTTAGAACCTCGAATGCTACTGTGAACAGTACCAGTGATCTTTACGTAGCAGCAGTAGTAATAGGGTAGTAGTACTGTAAACAAACTTCAACGTGGTTATGTAAACAAAACCAAAATAGAGCTCAGGAGTTGTAAATATTAATGGCTCCGCTCAATAGCCCACTACTGTACTTATGCATTCCCTGACTAAGGTAATATTCTTGCACTTTCCTAATCACACTGCTCTTTCTGTTCAAATTAATTCACTAAAAATATCTGTAACATACAGCCTCCACTTTAAAATATGACCTGGAACACTGATCAACAGTTATGCGAAGTGTTTCTTATCTCTTTGTCCTGAAACTGGCTACAGTTCTTCCTGAATAGAGTGAGTGTGATTATATGCAACAGGCATGCACGTGTGGGAAACAAGGAAACCTCAGGGAAACAGAATGGCTGAAACAGTCATCAGCTGTGCCTCCTACATTCAGCTCAACACCCAGTGATGCTGATCTTCATTGCAATTTACATGCATATAAAAAAGGGAGGAAAAGCCCACAAGTAAAAGAAAATATTAAAATAAAACAAGTATCTGAATAATCTTCAGATATTTTATAATTACTAGAATTAAACTGTTCCCACCATTCACCATTCTCTAAATTCATTTTGCTATATTTATACTATCTTTTTGTTAACTTTATCAGAGATGCAGTGCCTTATTAGCTAAATGAATGGAATGTCCACACTTTAATCCAATCTGGATGCTGGGAGCATTTCAATCCAGTCCAGGTTTTCCCCCTAGGCAGAGTTCCCTTCCCCTCACCCCTTTCCCTTAGGGTCAGCAGTTTGGAGGATACTGTAGAAGTGGTGCTTCCCCAATATGGGTTTGTTATGCAGTTGGGGGGCTGTAGGTAGGTCAAGCAAAACTCAAATCTTGTTAAACTCAATTTACAACTAAATACAAGAGAGCTCAAGATTTTACTGGAGCATAACTCCAATGTACAGGCTACAGCCAAACATTCTTTATATAAGGCAATGGAATCAATAATTGTAGCATTCACGCTGATTTATGCCAAACCATGTAAATCCTGAAGCCAGCTTAAGCAAAACTACAGATAACTGACAAGTCTGTCTCTGTCCTTAACGAAAACTTATACTCAAATAAATTTGTTAGTCTCTAAGGTGCCACAAGTCCTCCTTTTCTTTTTGCGGGTACAGACTACCACAGCTGCTACTCTGAAACCATTCAGTGTGTTCATCTTGTAAAAATTCTGACATTTCAGTCAACAATCCTCTCAATTAGGTTCAAAGCTTTCTCCACTTTCATCTCTTCCATCTTTCTGCACTTCCTATAAAAAAAGAACATTTTCTTCTTCAAAATCAACAAGCCAATAATAAATGGAACAAAAATCTCTACAAGTGGCTGTCAGAAATGGACACTTTTTACTTAAAACTGATTATCTGTATGAAAACTATATAAATATGGAAGTAAAACCTAGAGTGGGTTATTCACCCTTGTCATTTCAGCATCCTACACCGATAAATACATACTACAGTTTATAGGTACATACAGGTTAAAAATGCCCTGGTGCAATAGCAAAGAGGATCCCTGCGGTGTCTCAATGATTAACTTTTAAACCTTCACATATTGTCTGTTCCTGGCCTCCCCAATTATAACACAGACTTTCCCTCTTACTAGGAAGAGTTTTCTATAGCACAACTAGCACCTGTGGAAAGGAACAGCTACATGATTAAAACACAAATTCTCCCTCATATTAAGCTTTAGGTTATTTAGGGTTCTTTTTGTTTTCAAGCAGCCTGCATTTGCTATCCACTTAAAAAGCAAACCAACCCACTGGCCATTGATACTGTGATTCAACCAGCAGCTGCAGTGTAGTTACCCATAGCTGTTGGGTAGGCCTTTAAACAAAATTTGCAAAGTAATATGCAACCCTCATATTGTTTTGACTCTTTCAGATAGATGGCCAAGGATCTGTCGGTAATCTGATGTGCTCCCTCGCTGTCTTTTAACTCAAGCTTTATAAACTCTTAAGCAAACGCGCTGAAAAATGTTCTAGCTGCAGTTCTGCAGCATATCCAAAATATAGAACTGTGTACTCACTAGTCTGGGCTCCTGTGAAGAGGACACACTCACTAATTTAAGTGTTTCCTTGTGTATAGATATTTTATTTGGAAAGCTTACAAAGCTGAGAAAGAGAGAGAAACCTCTCCCAAAATGGCAACATTCCCTAGAAATACAAATATAGCACATTGGGAAGGCGACCTACTGCTCACCTTTCACAGCAGTTGCTTCTTTCAGGTTGTGGGATAGGAAATCTATGCTGGCATAGGCGCTGGTCTCCACTCCATTGATGTCCCCATTCATGGCGTGCCTGCCTTTGCGTCTGACTTTGTCACGGTTTGCCAGGCTCCCATCCACCACGTCTATGGCGATGTAGTTGAGGCCGTTCTGGAAGCCAGCGGAGGTCTCCCGGCACATGGGGCTGCTGCCCTGCTCCTCCTCCAGGCCTTCGCTTTTCCTGAGGGACACGTTCTCCACCGAGGCCGAGTTGTGCCGTTTGGGGTTATGTGCAAAGGAAGGAGACACGGGGGTCACAGTGGTGGTGGAGGAGAAAGTCTCCGAGCTGTGCCGCCGGCGCCCCTGGGGATCCGCCCGGATGACCTTGGCCCCGCGGTTGGGGTCCGGGGGCGGGCTGGAGAGGATGAAAGCCTCCACCCCAGCCAGGGTGAGTCTCTTCACCCCGGCCGTGGGGCTGGTGACCCGGGCACTTTCTGGCTTCTGGGCGATGGGCTGGGGCGGGGTGGCGGCCATGCCGAAGGTCATCTCGGTGTAATCCCCCCCGTCGGGCGGGCTGGACAGGCAAGCCACCCCCACCGCCGCCGGCAGGTAGAGCCCCTCGGGCCGGCCGCGGCTGGCGCAGGCCTCCGGGGAGAGCGCCTCCAGGCAGCCCACCGAGACCGGGCCCGCCTGCGAGCCGAAGTCGATGTTCATGTAGTCGGAGAGGGGGGAGCGCCTCCGCCCGGCGCCCGAGCCCAGCGAGGAGGCCGGGCTGTCGGCCGGCAGGGAGGGCGGCGAGTCGGCAGCCGCCGGCTCCCCGAAGTCGATGTTGATGTACTCGCCGGGGCTCTGGGGCTCGGGCGGCAGCGGGTGCTCGTGCATGCTGGGCAGCAGCGTCCGCAGGGTGTCCAGGGCCAGGCGGCTGGGCCGCACCGCCCGCGGGCCCCGCTGGCTCAGGAAGCTCTCGGTCCGGCTGTGCCGCAGCGGGGAAGGCACCGTGTGGCTGGAGGGGGCGGCGGGGCGCACGCCGCAGGCCGGCTGCTCCGGGACCAGCCTGCCCGGGGAGCTCATGAAGACGTACTGGTCGCTGTCCTTGGCCGGCTCCTGGCTGGGGCAGGAGCGGGGCAGGGAGCTGCAGGCGTAGGCGGCCTTGGGCGGGTCGCCGGCGCCCGCAGCCGGGGCGAAGAAGAAGTCGGGCGGGGTGAGCGAGGCGGCGGGCGGCCCGTGCGGGGACATGTTGATGTAGTCCCCGCCGCTCAGCCTCCCGTCCGAGCTCTCCACCGACAGCCGAGAGCCGCCCCACATCCGCATGTAGCCGCTGTCGTCCGGGGAGCTCTCCCCGGGGGAGCTGGTCTTGTAGCCGCCGCCCGCCCCGGCCCGCGGCTGCAGTATCTGCTGCGGGGCGGACACGCTGGTGGGGCTCATGGGCATGTAGTCAGCGCCGCCCCGGCTGCCCGGCCCCAACGCCGCGGCCACGCCGGGGGTCATGGGCATATAGCCGTCGTCCCCTCCTCCGCCGCCCCCTGCCGGCGGCCCCAGGTTGGTGCTGCTGCTGCCGGAGCTGCGGTGGGAGCCGATCTCGATGTCCCCGTAGTCCTCGGGGTAGGGGGTGTAGGTCACTTTGGGGGAGGCGGCGGGGAAGAGGCGGCCGGAGCTGCCGGCGAAGGTGGCCCGCATCAGGGTGTACTCGTCCAGGGAGGCGGAGGAGACCTGCGGGGGGGCGGCCCGCTGGCGGCTCGGCGTGGTCAGCGAGTAAGTCCGCTTCCTGGGGCCCTTGTCCCCCGCCGAGTCCGGGCAGGGCCGGTAGCAGAGCCGGCCGCCCTGGGGCCGCTCCATGGCCATGTAGCCGTACAGGTCCGCGCCGCCCCCGGGGTCCCGCACCGGGGGGGTCTCGGCGATGGACTCGGGCGTGTTGCTGCGGTTGCTGGCGGTGGAGAAGGGCCGCAGGTCGCCGCCCGGGCTGGAGCCGTATTCGTCGAAGGACATAAAGCCGGGGTCGCTGGGGGAGCCCGATACGGAGGCGCTGCCGCTGGACAGGCGCTGCGGGTGGGGGGGCTCGGAGCCGAGCCCGCTGCTGGAGGAGAGGCTGATCGGGCTGGTGGCGGAAGGGGGCGAGTGCGATACGGGCATAGACATGGAGCGACTATTTTGCAGGCCGCCCCCGGGGGGCACCGGCCCCAGCTTTCCCCCCGACTTGCCGCCGCTACTAAGTGTGTGCGAGCGGCTCAAGGGAGTCCGCACCGGGCCGGGGCTCATGGGGCTGCCGGCGACCGAGCCCGCTCTGCAGCCATCCCCTTCGCTGGCCGTCCGCACCCGGCCCGGGTTGCCCTTGGTGCCGGCGCTGGCCCCGGCCGCTAGGCTGTCTGTGCGGGAGCGGCGCAGCAGGCCGGTCTGGCTGGGCGGCAGGTTGACCAGGTGGTGGTGCCGGCGGCCGGGCACGGTGATGGGGTGGGTGGAGGAGGCTCCGGGGCCCCCGGCGCCCCCGGAGGAGGAGGACGAGGAGGACTGGCTCTTGCTGCGGGGCCGGAACTCGGACAGCTCCTTCAGCGCCTTCATGGCCCCCAGGATGGTCTCGTGGATGTTCTGCGCCACCACCGAGTCGTCCGCCTGCATCCAGAGCTCGCCGGGCCCGGTGGCCGCCGACCGCCCCACCTCCATGAAGAAGAAGCTGTCGGAGTGGCCGCAGCGGCGGATGTTCATCAGCTGCAGCGTGACCGAGGGCAGCTCGCAGTTGAGGCGCACGAAGCCGATGGTGCGAGCGGAGAGGCAGAGCCGGTGCACCCCGGTCAGGTTCTTACTCTGCCCCAGGCCCTTGGGCTTCAGCGTCACCTGCCAGACCTCCCGGTAGACAGCACTGGCCGGGGCGAGCAGCCCGTAGTTGAGGTCCTCGCAGCCGCCGGCGAGGGAGGACCCGGCGGCGCTGCCGGAGGAGAAGGGCGAGGAGAGGTGGCGGAGCGGGGAACCCTGGCAGGCGGCTTTGCCCTCGTTGAGCAGGTCGGTGAGGGCCCGGTACCAGCCCTCCTGCTCCTGCTCGTTCTCGGCCGCCACGGCGAAGTACTCGTCCTTGGTGTAGAGGGCGATCAGGTACTTGTGCTTGGCGTCCGCTCGCTTGTTGATGTTGAGGCAGGAATCCAGCGCGATCACCCGCTTGGGAGCCCCCGACTTGTTCTTCCATTTCTTCTCGTTCTCGTAGTACTCCAGCCGGGCGCCCCCCGCCCCCGGCTGCTCCTCCCCGCTGCCGCCGGGTCCCCGGAGCACGAAGAAGCGCTTGTGCCCGTGCTTCTGCTTGCGCAGGTAGCCGCATTTCCTCACGCTCTGGTGGTTGTTGTTGTTGTTGAGGTTGGGACCAGGAGGGGAGTTCAGCAGCCCCAGCAGCGTGGGGCTCGCCATCCCCAGCCCAGAGCGCGGGGCAGGGGGGCTGAGTTCCGAGCGCCCTGGGGCGGGGGCTAATCCCCTGGTCCCCGGAGCCGCTGTGACCCCCGGCTCCTGTATAAAGCGCGGCGGTGATGGTGCTATTGCCGACCTGGCTCCTCCGTGCAGGCAGGGCTTGCTGCTGCCCGAGTCCTTCTAGACCCGGAGCGCTGCTGCTCTCCGGATCCTCGGAGCTGGTCGCCGCCGCTGCTGCCGCCGCCGCCTGCCTCGGTAACAGTTTCACAGTAAGTAACACATTGCGCACCAAGGGCTGAACTAAAGAGCAAAACAACACGTGACCCGCTGGGTTGCCGAAACGCTCACACACCGAGCCAAGGGAGGGGGGAGCAGGGGAAAGCCAGAGTAAAGGGGGGCGAGGCCATCAATCCGCCGCCAGCTTCCTACGGGATTGGGTGCGGCGCCGGGGAAAGGACAGCGCCATGCACCAATGGGGATGGGGGGAGGACGCCGAGCCCAGGGAGGCGGGTTGTTATTGGGTGGCTCGCGCGTCCCACCCTCTTCTCTCTCAGTCTCCCCCTCTGTTTCTTTTCCCGCCCACCCACCCTCCCTTCTTCTACGCACGCTGGCTCTCGCCTGCCCCTTTCCCCTGGCCCCGGACCCCCGCTCAGAGACGTGCGGGAGCTTGCCGAAAACGCCAGGCGACCGTGAAGCCCAGGCAGGAGCGCGAGGTGGCCGGGGGGCTGCCGAGCCCGCTGTCACCGAGCGAGCACATGAGCGGGCCACCTCGCCAGGCGGGGAAGGGGGCGGGCTCCCGCAGCTTCGCGCCCAGTGCAGAGCCAGAGACCGTACGCTAGAGGGGGAAATTAAAAAAAAAAAAAAAAAAAAAAAAAAAAAAGGGGGGGGGGCGACAGAGGGTCCCGAGCGCGTGACGGAGGAAACTGAGCTGGGCTGGGGTTTACTGCGCCAGGTGTGGCAGAGGAGGGGAAGCCTTCCGCCGGCGATCGAGAGCGATGGGCAGGTTTCCTCAAAATCAAGAAGCTGCAGCATGGGCCAAAGGAGAGAGAGAGGGGGGGTGCCAGAGATGGCCCTCTCCCCCATCTAACCGGCCGCCCTTTTCGGTGCCGCCTCCACCGCCAAACCTGCCGCCCCACATCAGGCTTGAACGCGGCTAATGCTAATGGGCCTGGGATCAAAGCCCAGGCAGTAAGAAGTCCTGCCCTGGACAGACGGACAGGTACCAGCGGAATCTAGCTTTCATGCTTTGGTAACGTTTGTGTAGCTCGTCATGGCAATAAAGCTCTGTTGCCTTGCCTGGTCCTTTCCCTGTGTCCCCCAGGCAACAGGGCTCCCCGGGGTTTGTTTCCCTTCCCACGACACACACCCCGAAGTTTGCCGTCCTAGCGGGCTTCTCCGGCTCCACGCACCCCTGCAAGCGGTCTTGGGCCCTCTGTGGCCCCAGCCAACATCTCCCTCTCCCCCGCCCCCAATCGCTCTCTCTGCCTTCTATGCGTGCCGCAGACACCCCTCTGTGGGGGCCACCACATCGGGACTTGCCCTCCCCGATCCCCCTTCTTGCCTCCACGCTAAAGAGTGCCTGTTCCCCTGGGGAGTCCCCCCCCCCCCGACACATACACTGCGGAGCTTGCTAGTTCAGCCCCCACTGCCTCACTCACGGTGCACTGGCTGGGTCTCCCACCCCGCCTTCTCCCCTCCCAGGATCCAGAGCCTTCCTAGCCGCCTCCCCTAAATCACTAGGCATTCCCTGCCCAGTCCTCCCGCTAGCTCCCCCTGAACCCATACAACATAGTCCAGACCTCCTGGGTCCTCCTCCCGGGCGTTTGCTCTTGGCTCCCCCGGCCCTACACAAAGTAACGGAGAATCGAGGGGGTAGCGGGGTGGCCAGCTGTTTCTGCTAGTTTGTCATTGATCAGGGGCTTGTTTGCCTTCTCCCCATAGTTGCTGGGTCTGTGTAGCGAAGAAATGCCACCTGGAGAGTGAAGAACGAGGAGTGTGTGTGTGGGGGGGGGGTGTTGTTCATTTTTTAATTAAGTAAATTAATTGATCGCTGTGTTTTGCATTGCTGTGTATAAGGGCAGCATTCGTGTTTCCTTGCGAAACAAAGCCAGCCGCACTGGGGGATTAGAGCACATCGAGGCAATTAAGTAATGAGTTGTGAAGGGGGAGTGTAGCAGCCTCACCCCCCACCCCCCGTGTTTACACTCTGGAAATCTGCCGCGGCTGCAGTGTGTGTTTGCTTTGCAGGCTGCTTTCCTTGTGGCGAAGGTGCGCGCACGAGTCCATGTTTTTCCAACCATTACAAATCCCTATTCCTATGTTGTGTGGCTCTGTTTTCCACGGCTACGTTTTACGGTTGATCTGTGTGCGATGGGATCCCGGCTCTAAAGTCACCCTTGTTTGTGCAAAGCCCCAGTTGATGAACGGCTTTCAATGAGCAGAGGTCCCTGCTTGTTTACGAGAACGAAAATTAGTCATCTCACTGGACTTTACACGCACAACTAGCAACAAACGCCGGGATCTATATGCCCCTTGCTTGTACAACAGACACGGGAGGGAAGGGGGGGGTGGAATTGTAGAAGCGGGAGGTGATTTACCTTCCTGTTGCACCCCTTTTGTGTGTGTGTATGGGAGGGGGGGTGGCTGCACGAAGACCCGCAAAGATCTCAGTTCTCTGTGTGGGGAACGGGGGGGAACCAGACAAGCTCTATGATGCGTGTATGTAGGGAGGGGGCGGTGGGGAACAGGGGGACCTGGCTAGCTGTAGGGTGTGGGGGTAGGGGGTGGAGAAAGAGTGAGAACCAGAAACGATCTGTGATGTGTGTAATGGGGAGGGGGCGGTGGGGAACAGAGTGGGAACCAGAGAGTATCGGTGATGTGTGTAATGGGGAGGGGGCGGTGGGGACGAGAGAATATCGGTGATGTGTGTAATGGGGAGGGGGCGGTGGGGACGAGAGAATATCGGTGATGTGTGTAATGGGGGGGGGCGGTGGGGAACAGTGAGGGAACCAGAGAGTATCGGTGATGTGTGTAATGGGGAGGGGGCGGTGGGGACGAGAGAATATCGGTGATGTGTGTAATGGGGAGGGGGCGGTGGGGACGAGAGAATATCGGTGATGTGTGTAATGGGGAGGGGGCGGTGGGGAACAGTGAGGGAACCAGAGAGTATCGGTGATGTGTGTAATCGGGGAGGGGGCGGTGGGGAACAGTGAGGGAACCAGAGAGTATCGGTGATGTGTGTAATGGGGAGGGGGCGGTGGGGACCAGAGAATATCAGTGATGTGTGTAATGGGGAGGGGGCGGTAGCGGTGGGGAACAGAGTGGGAACCAGAGACGATCTGAGGGGCCGGTGGGGAAGAGGGGGCCTGGCGAGCTGTACTGTCTCTGGGTGTGTAGTGCGGGGTGGGGAAACAGAGGGGGACCAGACAAGCTCCGTGGTGGGTAGGCGTACGTAGAGCCCCTGTGATAGAGGAAAACAAAATCATTGCTCGTTCTGAAGCATGCAACATAAAACACACCGTGGTGGAAAGGGGGAAAGTCATAATAAGAGTCTTGGGATAAAGAAAAAAGTATTTATTGAAAACCTCTAGCCCAGGTTGTTTTTAATCACAGCCGCATCTTCTCCTTTCCTAGACCCACTCACAAAGCTTGTCTCCCTTTTGCATATCCTTGGGAGGAGAAGGGAGCAAGAGGTCAGACAAACATCCTTGTTTTTAATTTTCTGTTCTGAATGCCATCGGGACATTCATGTGTCTGTATATTATGCAGCTGAAGTCATCTGTTTTGAATGTAAAGTTGAAAAAATATAGTTTCCATAGTGCAGGGCAGAGGGCGGGCGCAAGCAGCGAAAACAATCCAGTGTTCCTCTAGCAGCTTGTGATCCCCTCCGCCAGTCTAGACCCAGTCCTACACGTACACACACAAGAGTACATACAGCGTATAGCTCAAGCTACACCATACACACGCCATGCAAGAGAAATTTAAGGAAGAGTCTCTGTCCTTTAAATTCTCCTTGGTTTCGGTCATAACTCATTTAGAAATCAATACCTGTACCTGAAATAAGGGAGACTCAGCTATAAATTTCAGCAGGCTCAGGTTGCAGTAGAGAGCTTTTTTAAAAGAACCGCCTTTTCCTCGGAGACTGGGTGTTCACATTTTAAGTATTAAGGTACTTACCTGTTTGTTTGTTGTTTTTTGCTTAAATTAATACATGTTTAACACAGCAAAAGGGAAGGGCAGCTGCTGGAGACCAGAGATATTACCTTCCAGGAGAGAGAGAGGGATGGCCGCTGAAGTCTCTGCTATTGACTCACCATATGACCAACGGCAAGAACCAGGAACCCCTGTGCTTCAGCTACCCTTATTTGGGAAATGGAGATAATAATACTTACCCACTCTGGCAAAATAAGTTGAGATCTGTGGTTTAAAATGCTGTAAAAGTGCAAGGTATTTTTTATTTTCTATGTATTACAGTCCTTAATGAGGAAAGTTTTTTATGCAAATTCAGGAATGGTTGGTTTTCTAATTTTAATCTTTATGAGCCAGATTATGAACCCTTTACTCAAATTGGTACTTATCTGAGTAACTCCACACCAATATGAGTAAGAGGTTTACAGTTTAAATCTATAAAAATACAGAAGAGTATTTCTCTGAAACTGTAGAATGTTTTTTTTTCAGCAAGTTATGAAATATTAATTATTTGGGGGTCTCAGACAAATCTTTAGAGTTGGCATTTGTAAAAGGGTAATAATTATGAACATATTTTGGTAATGAAAATATTAATTATAACAGCAGAATCAATGTTTATTAAACAATTTAGATGCAACAAAAACAATAAAAAGAAGGAAATTTCCTTTTATCTCACACTTCCGCATAACAAATTGCTACTTTTTTATATTTTTTTTTTATAATTATGTAAGTGTTAGATGTCAGTAATAACTTTTAATTTTCTGGTGCTGATTGACTTGTGACATGCAATAAATATTTTTTCTATTTTAATTATTTTTGCTTTGTGGATTTTAACTTAGTAGGTTTCCAAGAAACAGCAATATATATCTTTGGTGCAGGGTATGGGAAGCGCTAGTCCAAGAGTCCATGAGAAAAATATGATATAATTGGTACTGGCTTCAAGGAACAAACTGTAGCAACAAACATCTCTGCTTTAAAATTACATGGGTGGTTTTCATTTCTTTCTCTGCAGGATTCTGAGCCTTTTCGTCATTACCTCTTAAGAACATAAGAATGGCTGTACTTGATCAGGCCAATGGTCCATCTAGCCCAGTATCCCATCTTCTGACAATGGCCAGTGCCAGATGCATCAGAGGGAATGAACAAAACGGGGTAATTTTGAGTGATCCATCCCCTGTTGTCTAGGCCCAGCTTCTGGCAGTTGAAGGTTAAGGAATACCCAGAGCATGAGGGGACGTCTCTGACCATCTTGGCTAACAGCCATTGATGGACCTGTCCATCAACTTATCTAATTCTTTTTTTAACCCAGTTATACTTCTGGCCTTCACAACATCCCATAGCAATGAGTTCCACAGGTTGACCGTGCACTGTGCAAAGAAGCACTTCCTTTTGTCTGTTTCAAACCTGTGGCCTATTCATTTATTTGGGTGACTCCTAATTCTTGTGTTATGTGAGGGGGTAAGTAACACTTCCTTGTTCACTTTATCCACACCATTCATGATTTTATAGACCTTGATCATATCCTCTATTAGTCATCTTTTTTTCTAAGATGAACCATCTCACTCTTTTTAATCTCTCATCGTATGGAAGCTGTTCCATACCCCTAATAATTTTTATTGCCTTTCTCTGTACCTTTTCCAGATCTAATATATCTCTTTTAAGATGTGACAACCAGAACCAGACTCAGTATTGAAGGTGTGGGCTTATGATGGATTTATATAATGGCATTATGATAGTTTCTGTTTTATCTATCTATCCATCCATCCCTTTCCTAATGTTCTGTTAGCTTTTTTGACTCCTGCTGCACACTGAGTGGATATTTTCAGAGAACTTTCCACAATGACTCATAGAGTTCATAGAATATCAGGGTTGGAAGGGACCTCAGGAGGTCATCTAGTCCAACCCCCTGCTCAAAGCAGGACCAATCCCCAATTTTTGCCCCAGATCCCTAAATGGCCCCTTCAAAGATTGAACTCACAACCTTGGGTTTAGCAGGGCAATGCTCAAACCACTGAGCTATCCTTCCCCTCAAGATCTCTTTTGAGTGGTAACAGTTAATTTAGAACCCGTGATTTTGTGTGCATAATTGGGATTATTTTTTCCAATGTCTATTACTTTGCACTTATCAACATTGAATTTGATCTGCTGTTTTGTTGCCCAGAGTCACCCAGTTTAGTGAGATCCCTTTGTAATTTTTCACAGTCAGTTTTGGATTTAACTATCTTGAATCATTTTGTATCATCTGCAAATTTTGCCACCTTACTGTTTACCCCCCTTTCTGAGATCATTTATGAATATGTTGAACAGCATTGGTCCCAGTATAGATCCTTGTGGAACCCCACACTTTGCCTCTCTCCTTTGTGAAAACTGACCATTTATTACTTCCCATTGTTTCCTATCTTTTAACCAGTTTCTGATCCATGAGAGGATCTTCCCTCTAATCCCATGACAGTTTGCTTTGCTTAAGAGCCTTTGGTGTGGGACCTTGGCAAAGGCTTTCTAAAAATCCAAGTACACTATATCCACTGGATCACCCTCATCCACACGTTTGTTGACATTCTCAAATAATTCTAATAGATTGATGAGGCATGATTTTCCTTTACAAAAGCTGCATTGGCTCTTCCCTAACATATTATATTTATGTATGTGTCTGATAACTCTGTTCTTTACTATAATTTCAGTTTGCCTGGTATTGAAGTCAGGTTTACTGGCTTGTAATTGCCAGGATGGCCTGTGGAGCCTTTTTATAAAAAAAAAAAAATGTGTTACATTAGCTATCCTCTAGTCCTCTGGTAGAGAAGCTGATGTAAACCATAGTTTACATACCACAGTTAGTAGTTCTGCAATTTCATATCTGAGTTCCTTCAGAACTCTTGGGTAGTTTTGGTGACTTTTTAGTGTTTAATTTATCAGCTTGTTCCAAAACCTCCTCTTTTGACACTTCAATCTGGAAAAGTTCCTCAGATTTGTCACCTGAAAAGAATGGCTCAAGTGTGGGGATCTCCCCCACATAATCTGCAGTGATGCAGAGAATTAATTTAGCTTCTCTGCAGTGGTCTTGCCTTCCTATAGCTTCTTTGTGCCTGTGGGTTTGTCTATATGGGAAAGTTTCAGTTATACCAGTATAATTATACAAGTAGTTAAAACACTGTAGTATAGCTCCCCGTGAGGACAGTCTGAGGACTTGTCTACACTACAGAGCCTTGGCTGGTGAGCTATGCTGGCAGCATCCCTTGGTGGAGATGAAGTGTAAGGCAGAAGGAGGAGCTCTGCTGGCATAGTTACCCCACCTCTCCAAATGACATTAACTTTGCCAGCAGAAGCACTCTTCTGTAGGTATAGTTGCATCTATGCTGTAGGTTTTGCCAGCATAATTATGTCGTCCAGAGGGGGGATTTTTTTCCACACTGCTAGCTGATTCAGCTATGCCGGCAAAGCTTTGTAGTACAGACCATGCCTAAGAGGGTTTTTTTGGCTTAGTTTTAACCACTGCCAAATCAATATAAGCTAAACCAGAAAAAGCGCTCATTTCAGAATAAGAGTATCCACTTGAGGAGTTATACCACTATAACTATTGCACTTTTAATTCACACCATACATGATACCGTATACTTTCCATGGGAGACAATAGTAAATATTATGTGCCCTCTCTACAGGTCCTCAAAACAGGAGCTTGTTAAAATGTAAAAAATATTCCCTGAATTTTTCTGTTTTTAATTGAAATTTCAAAAATGTCCAACCAGCTGTTCTCAAAACTCACTTATTTCATCTCGCTTTCAACCAGTAATTAAATATTAACTATTATTTGTACTCTGGTAGTGCCTAAGAGTCCCAGTCATTGACCAGGACTCCATTGTGTTAGACACTGTATAAACACAGATCAAAAAGACTGCCCCACCCCAAGGAGCTTACAATGTATGTATAAGACAGGAGACAACAGATAGACAGGGGAGGACAAGGAAACAATACGTCAATATTGATCAGCATGATAGGCAGTGCCACTCCATGCATGTTAATTACATTACTTACATTTAAATAAGAAAAGAAAATCTGTGAGCAAGGCAACTCAGTGGCAGTAATTCATTGCTAAAGAAAGAAAAATTTCACTCCTAATTTCACCTCTCCCTTTCCCCTTCTTTTGTCACACCTCTCCTGCCCCATCCCTTTACCCCATGATAACTTCATCTAAACGTAATAAGGCCAGGTCTAGTGTAGGAATGCTTTGCTGGTGTGGCTATCCCTGTATACTACACTAGCGAAGCACTCCTACTATGGATACTGTTTATACCAGCAAAACTGCACATTTGCTGGCGTAGCTTATTCCAAGCATCTTCAAATGAAATGCACTTATACCAGCAAAACTGCACGTTTGCTGGTATAATGTATCAACACTAGGGTCTTTTGCTGGCAAAAACTGTTATCAGTCACAAATCACACCTCTAATCTCACCCTAACTGACATAGCTATGCCAGCGAAAGTTTGTAGTGTAGACCTGGCCTAAAAATAGTGGTCCTGTTTAGTTCAGACTTAGCTGACATAGTCCATGCAGCCAGACCCTTGTGCCTGCCCCAGAGCCCTATTGACCTCAGTGGTTGTGGAGCAGGGATTTTGGATTCTCAGTACAGGATTGGAACTTTATATATTGTGAGCTATTCAAAGCAGAGATCTTAGGTGAAATCCTGACTCATTAAAGTCAGTGGAAGTTTCACTATTGACTTCAGTGGGGCCAGGATTTCACCTTTTGCCTTGTTATATATTTATAGAATACCAGGCAGTGGTATTCCGTTCATAATGAACAAATCTAATCAATTAACTTGGAACCGATTTTTTTTTAAATTTGTAGTTTCCTTCCTCGATTCTGACCCTCATATTAGGATTCAGTAAAATTTCCTTAGTCTATCTATGGCTGTTGTACCAACCTGATACTCCAGAAGTAGAAATGTGACAATTCAGTTTTTCAAAAATCTGTTTATATTCCAAATACAACTATTGCACCTGTTTAGTTATAGCTATGGATAATAAATAATGACAAAAAGGTCAGCAACATCTCATTTTGCAGACAAAACTCCTTCTGAAGTGAGTGGTGAATTTTGCCTTTGCAGATTGTTTAACTGTATAGCAATTAAATATTGATACATGTATTTAATCAGGTAAATGACATTAGCTTTATCAAAAAAATTTTTAAAGTATATACAGCTACATTGACCAATCTATGAAAGAGCTTGATTCTGCCAGGCCACTGCAGCAGAACTCAACTTTGATTAGAGTTCCATCAAAGGGCGGCTCCTAGGTTCTCAGGCCCTAAGTAAATGTAACTATATTTAAATATTACCCAAGGGTCACAGTCAGGCTATTGCAAACACTTTCTGAAAGACTGGATGCACATACACGTTGAATTTCAATCCAAATAGATCTCATTTTTAAATACCTGTGTATTCAAGGATAAGGAACAACCGTTGTAAGGGATGTTGGCTTGACTGTTGCCCTTTCACCTGTTGTCGGGATCTTAAAGCAGATGGTAGCCAAGCTATGAGAAAAAAGACGGAGAATTATTATGTGCATCAGTAACATTCGCTTATACTACCAGAACCACAGTTATCTGTTCCAACAAAAGAACAAACTGATTTCTATTTTGATGTCCTTGAACTTTTTTATAAATGTGTGAAGTCAACTTCAACTCCCCATTAAGAAGTTTCTCTCTACATTTTCTGACTTAAGGCCATTCTTGTAATAAGTTTCAAATTTGTAATCTTCCTCACACAGAGATTGTGTGTGTGTGGCAATTCTTTCCTCCTGTTCCGGTGATTAGA